AAATGCATTCTTGCTGCTGTCTTGCTATCCATCAAAAATTGGCCAGCTTTAAGGTCTACTTTTGATTTTTCCAGGTACGTTTTCTGGTGTTGGCTTCGCATCACTACGTCCCACTGCCCCTTGTAGCGGCCTGAGTTGCTGCTCTAAGCAAGTCCAGAGGCTCTGGCCATTAAAGTGAGAGAAACCCTCATTCTCCTGGGCCAGAAGGCTTCTGGTGGAACCCTGTTGTCCACAGAGAACCCTAATACTTGTGTGTAAAGGAACTAATCTCATAGGTAGGGAAAAGTTAGTGATATTTGAGAGCATAGTGGAAAGATAAGGAAAAAAGCCTTTTAAATGGAATGTATTAATCACTGGAAAGATTTAGGAGTCAGCTAGGAGGTGAAATTACAGTCTGCTGCATGTTGTTCCCAGTTCAGCAATGTAGTGGAAAGGCATTGCTGCTCATGTCTTCTCTCCTTTCAGGGTTCTTTGAAATGAAAATGAAGTATGATGAAAGTGATAACGCTTTCATTCGCGCTTCCAGAGCTGTCACAGACAAAGTCACTGACTTAATAGGTAATGTTTCATCCTTGCTGTGAAAGTGTGTCTCTAGGCTTTTAGCTCTGCTCCTACGGCTGCTGGTGCTGTTGTCCTCAATGTATTCCTGGCCTTTGGGAAAGATTTGGGAGCTTTATAGCACTTTGCATGGATCATTATCCAGTATCATGCAGGGTAGCAACCTGTTACTGGGTCGGAAGTGCAATGTAATGCAACGACAAGTGCTATTACAGGATAAATCTCAAACCTAACATGCAGTTTATAGCTCTTCCCAGGCCACTCTTCTTTCCTTCTGTTATATAACCAAAGCCTGTCTGTTTTCTGTTTTGTCATTGTTTATTTTCTTTTGTTTTTTTTGCCAACGTTGGTCCTATCACCAGTCTTACTGTTTCATTAGGTGGGTTGTTCTCGAAGACAGAAATGTCTGAGGTTTTGACAGAGATTCTTAAAGTGGATCCATCCTTTGACAAAGATCGTTTCTTAAAGCAGTGCGAGAATGATATAATCCCCAATGTCCTAGAGGTAAGGTGGGTGCAGAGTATGATGCATGTGTTTCGTTTCTTTATCCCTGCATAGCAGGCTTTGCATTTACTTTTTCTAATGCTAAAATTAAAAGCTAGGACACCCATTTGCTTCTCAAGCACCCCGCTTAGCATAAAATCCCACATGAAATAACCTCGGGAATGGGAAGCTTGATCTCGCGTCACAATTTAGTTGCAAATCTTGTTATGCAATTTAATAGCATAGCAAAAAAAAATCTGGTCTGGGAAACAACTGACCTTCTCCCATGAGAAATCGTATGTACATTTGAGGAATCAAACTGCACCAGGTGAACAAGCAGTACAGGGTGGGGGATAATACCAAGTATTGATAAGGAAAGAATTTGGAAAGAATTCTAAATGATCTGTAAGTGGCTTGGGATGAAGACCAGGTTGTGGCAGATGTTTTGCTGAAGATATTTCTGGCATTAGCCAAGAAAATTTTTGAAACTTTAAGGTTTCCAAAGCCTGGGAAAAAACACTCAGAAGATAGAGCTGATTAAGACTGTGAATGTGTAGTTCATCTCACTGTCACCGTGTGTCTGAAAAGACAAAGATTAAAAGATAGCAAAAATCAGGTTTTGAGAGATACGTATGAGATTGGAAAACGTGAGACTTTTGAAGAGAATGGGATGTTAACAGAGAACAAAGCCTGTCCTGAGATGATGCAAGATTTAAAGCAGTTTGCCTCTGCCAGCTCTGATATTTCATCTCTCTGATCCAGGAGGCATTTTGAAATCCTCATATTTTATTTGATTTTCCTCTTTTAGGCTATGATGTCTGGAGAACTTGATATCCTCAAAGACTGGTGCTATGAAGCGGTAAGTAGAACTGCTGGAAATGGCTGGAAAGGCCACGATCCTCCTCCGTGAGGACACGTGTTGTGTCTTTACTGTGTGTTTACAACAGGCTGCCTTGCCCAGCTGCTCCCCTGCCTAACGTGTTCATGCTACAAAGCACTAATGGATCCAGGTTTCCATTGGGGACTTCCACTATGGTCTGGATAAGGGAGGAAAGCTCCTTGCAGAGATAAACAGTAACTGTTTTAAGAGCTAAACTGGTTTAACTAGTTTTGCACTGCCCTCGGTTTCAGTGGAACTTTGCAGAGACTTTGAGGATGGCTGCTGCTTCCAACCAATTTGGAAAGAGAGAAGCAATCTGCACTGCTATGATGAGGAGTTCTTTGGCCATATTTGTCTTGCATTTCTCTGCATTCCTGATATGGGGAAGGTGCAGAGATGTCTGAGTTGACCCCAGATAGTTGATTTTCTTTTGGCAGAGCTGATCATTCCATGTAGCTACTACATAAGCAGAGCTCCACTGGAGTATCCCAGCAGATAACATTGGCAGGCTCAAATTTGCATGCATTTTCAGCACAGATAATTTGCAGCCTAGATAATCTGACTTCAGAAAATTTAATTTACTGTTAAGATGGTGGTTTTGTTTTCCTGCTGGAAATATGATGGATTTTCAATATTGCACCCGCTTTCTAGAACACAGTGTATGTGAATTAGTTGTGATGCAGTGATTGTATTATTGTGCACTTAGCTGCATGGAAGTAGATCCTTATCTGAAGTCAGCGTTTAAATGCCAGAGGGTGTTTATTCTGCTCAATCTTCTATCTGCTCCAAAATAATTGTGCTGTTGGCAACACAGAAGCATACTGGTTTTGTTTCTGAAGAATTTATCTGCTTAAAGGGAGTCTTCTCCTCACCAAACACCACCAGCAGAGGGCTGAAAATTCAAACACTAGAGAAAGAAACCATTTCTATATGAAATTTTCCTGGTGGTTTGTTCTGTTAGGTCTTCCTAGTAATTTTGTAGTATGTAAGAGAAAGGTATTTAAAGCAGTCTGAAAATAAAGAAGGTTCTTTACTGCTTCAAGGAAGCTTTGAAGTGACACCACAGAATTCCTCTCAAATTTGTAGAGGGAGTAGCAAGTTTACTTGCATAAGACATGAGGCAAATCCTTCTTGGCTGCGATTTTAAATGAAGCTTCTAAGTGGAGACTCGTGTAAAATGAGCTGAGGTTGAGAACGAGAGTCTCACTAATGAGTGTCCAGGAGAAAAAGGCTCTTACAAAGCCTTCGTAATGGAGGTTGGGAGATCTGGGGTCATGAGACATGGTCGAGGCTGCCTCGTGCTTGTTTGACAAGGTGCCAGGAATGTTGTGATAGTGCTGGAAGCAGATAGAAATTCCCTATTCCCAACAACCGTCCTCAGTGTGCGTGCCTGCAACAGAGCCTGGAAACACTGGTCTGAGTCCTAGGAAGACACCTTGATACCCAGAATGTTTCTCCCTGTTTGTTGTCAAATCAGAGCCACAAGTACTTTGGCCCTCAGGTGCATTCAGTGTGCAGAGCTGAATGAGGAATCTCCTTTTATGTCCAGTGGAGATGGGAGTTTTAGTAAGAATTTGTTTATGTGGAGCCTGGCACATTTGATGGAGCTGTTAGGTACGTGCAGTAAATAAGTTTTCAGAGTGTTTGGAGGAAAGTGACTTTTTTCATGGTTCTTGCTAAGCAAAAATACCCTTTTTTCTTTATGACAGAGCAAATTCAAACGTGTAACACAAGTTTGTTGCTTCGTTTAGACTTACAGTCAACTTGCTCATCCAATCCAGCAAGCCAAAATCATGGGTCTCCAGTTCCACTCCAGGATTCTGGACATCGACAACATTGATGTGAGTCTCCCGTTCTGTGCTTCATCTTGGGGGCTAAATTAGAACTCTAGGGCTTTTCTGCTTTATTTCTTGCCCCATGCTGTTCTCGTATTTGCTGTTTCTGCTAGCAGAGGAACAGATCACCACAGCTGGAAGAGAGAGCACGTGGGGTAAATTTGAGGAAGCAATTCTCTACTGGGAATTAGCTACTGGGAAACTAGCCTAAATTACAGGACTCTCATTTATCCCTTCTCTGCCAGGGCACCTTGGTTTTAGTTTGGATATAGATTTAGAAAGGCTAATAATAAAGGCAAATAGCACTGACCCGGTGTTTAAATGAAGGACTTTGTTGCTGCTTACTTTGGACGACAGTGTGAGATATTTCTGTGGCTCAAGGACATGCACTGCAGGAATGGCTACTAGAGAGACTTAACTGCTGTTCTGGATGAGGGGGAAGGTAATGACCATTGCCTGGTCAGCAGCAGTGTTGGTAGTTGGGGATTTCTTGCCAAATATCTGCACGGTCTTAATGCTCTCCACGTCCTCGTTATGTGGAGGAGCCAGACCTGTTACTGTTGTGCTTAGCAGAAAGTCTCAAGCTGCACTTTGATTTAATTAAGGCTTTAGTTTCATCTGCTGCTGGCTCCTTCAGATCTCTTTTTAACTCAATGGCAAAAGCATCTTCAAAAAGAAGTTCTCACCTTTGATCAGCCCTTCCATATTCCATAGCCAGCTCTGCCTCAAAGGAGAGAGATAAGAGGAGGAGGGGAATAAGGCAGCTACTTCACTAGATACCTCGTGCCTTCAAGTTGAGCTAAATTTTGGATTCTCGAGAATAAAGTATGTACTTCCCTTTCCTGGACCTCCTCTCCTATCAAAACTAACAGGTAGCAGCAGTTCTTATGTGTTCTTATGAGCACGATGAAAAATCCTCCTCTGTAGCATACTGCATTTCTACAAAAGAAACAGAATGTTGTATTTTTTTTTAAGAGTACAGCTTCGGGAAACAAAATTCTCCCTTCTTTATTGTATTTCCATTCTTCATTGTGTTTCACTTAGAAGGTTTAATGGGGTAATCTTGGAATGGAGAACAAAAAAACTGTCAAACAAAAAGTTGTCACCTTGAAGTCTTTCTCCTTCTGAGTTCTCTTTAACACAAAACTGTAATGGAGTAGATAAAAATCCGTTTGCAAGCAAGTGAAGAACCTTTTTGGTATAGTTCATTTGGGAAATGGATCAGAGTGTGATTTCTTTTAGTATTAGTCTCTACTTTGGAAATGCTTAAAACAGAGCTCATGTTTCACAAGTCCTTAAATATAGGAAAAACAATGGAAACTTAGAGAACAATGTTTGGGAAGTATTTTAGCACAGGGAAAGGTTTTGGGAAAATGCTTTACAGTAATGCCTACGATGGCAGTATCAGCAGAATAGATATAACCTTGTCAAAGTGACTAGATTCATCTCTGAGAGGCAATGGCACTTTTAGCTGTGTCAGGCCATGGCAGTTATGTTAAATGCTTGATGCTTTTACATTCATCTTCAGAAATCCTTTTTTTTTTTTTTTTCCTAAACGAATTTTCTTTCTTTGCAGCTGGCTATGGGGAAGATGATGGAGCAGGGACCAGTGTTAATTATCACTTTTCAGGCTCAAGTTGTGATGGTAATTAAGAACCAGCAAGGGGAAGTGGTGGAAGGTGATCCGGTAAGTGATGCTCCCCTGCTCTCTTCATTTCCCTGCTAGCCATCTCAGTTGTGATGGATCCAGTCCCTTTGGCAGTTTGTGATGCTTTTACGTTTTGTTTTTATAGACAATGCAGACAAATTTATTCTGTATAACTCACAAAAATGTGCTGTCTCTAGTTGTCAGCAAAACTGTTAGAGCTTTTGCAGGAGTCTGGTGTTGCTGACCCTTGGTGCCTCACAGTGTCCCCTAGAACTTTATGAACTATCAGCAAGCAAAAAGAAGGCATCTGTCTTCACTGCTGATGCATTCTGTGGGCTCAAGTAGATGGCTAGGAAAGAGATTGTAACTGGTGGGTAAAAACCCCACGAAACATCTCACCTGTGCTCTGTTCGTTTCTCTTAGTGACTGTTGGGTTCCTAAGGAGAATAGAGAGATGAATCCCATGTGACCGGCTTGTTCTTGTTGCTTTGTGGGTTGCTATGTTGTCCCAGGCCAGGTGTGCCAACGGAGAGACCTCTGGGAATCCTGTGCAAGTCTGAAAGAAAATTACCTTAATTTGGCTGGCACAAGGTTGGCTGGCCGTGAAACCCGGAGGAGAGTGGAAATAGGAATAAAACTGCATCCTCTGGGGGAAGTGTTTAGTGGAGCTCAGCGTGAGCCATTCCTGTCACACTCAGAAGTGGGAGCTCAGGCTTTTTGCAGTGCTGGTACAAAATGTTTTCGGCTGTCACTAGCCTGTACTTCCTGCAGCTCTCCCATATCCACTTGTATTAGATGTTGTACAGGATAGAGGCCTCTAACGGGAACCGCTGCCAAGAGGCATTTTGTGGAGTGACTGCTGTGCAGCAGGTCCCTTGATGTCTCTTTGGGTTGTTCTTCACCGTGGTTTAGCTCTTGACACGTGCAAGTCCCAGCCTGCAGTGTCTGCTGTGAGCGCTGCTAAGCCAGGCTTTTCAGATCTGACCACAGAAACACTTGTTACTGACACAGTGACACAGCAGCTGGAGCAGCCTGTCCATTTCTCTGCAATACCTTTGTATTCTCTTTAGTCTAGACTGCAAGTTTACAAAAAAAAAGGCTAATTTTAAAGATGGGGTCCACCTGAACTGATTTATGACCTGTCAGAGTGACTGCAGTGAGGGGAACAGCTGATACAGGGATCTCTTGCATCAGATTTCTCCAATCTGGAAGATGGGTATTGATGTGATAATTATTAAACAGGATATCAAAGTCCATATGCTGTCTGATTTCTCTGGAGCAGCAATAAATCAGGGAGATGCATTAAAATTCTCTATAGGAAACACAACTTTAGTTTTAATCAAATGTCAGCTGCAGGCTGGCTGGCAAGTAGGAGTCGGTGCAACTGCTGAGCTGCTCCTGCCGAGTGGGGAACAAATGACCTTCTAGGGGGATAAAAAAGAGCCTCAAATTGTAAACTCCCTAAATAGAAATCATGTGCTTGTAATCGCTGCAGTGTTACCTACTTGGCAGTAGTTCAGGCTGCCGTTGCTGCATGCTCATGCCCGGTGGGATATGGGGCAATCCAGAGGGATTGGCCCCGGTATTCCAGCGGTGAGTGCAGGAGATCCCCATGGAGCCCCACGACATCCATCTGGGCAGGCTGAGCCTCGCACAGCCAAAAGCTTCTTTAAAATTGGATCCCGAGGGGCTCTGGGGCAGGACATGCTTTCTCCTAGCAGACTGTGGGATTAAAGGACAAGTTTGATCTGATATTCATGGCCATGCCTGAAAGCCACCTCGGGGAGTCTGCAGATGTTCGACGGCCCAGGCTCTGTATGCAGCAGCATGAACTGTATGTTCAGGATTAAGATGCACCCTATTAGTAAAAGCAGCAAAGCAGTAAGTCGGAAATCTCTCGGCTTCAGGAACAAAACATTTCTGTGCTTCAGCACGTCTCATTTTCAGGAGGAAAGAGGCCCTCTTTTTTAGGAGTGCATGCTCTGAGGAAGCAGCAATCCTGAGCTGGTCTGTGTTCTTCCTTCAGAAGCACTGTGCTTACATATATCTGGAAAAATTTACTCAAATAGAACAAGAATTAGCAAAAGAGATAACGCAGATAAAGATCTGTAAATAGATTGCCATGAAGGGGCCAAATATGGGAGCCTGCTGGCTTTGTAACCCAAGAACAAGCAGAGCCTGTTGAATTTGCAGCCGAGGACGGTGTTTCCACTCGTGTGGGATTGGCTTTGCAACCCAAGAAAAAGCAGAGCCTGTTGAATGAAGGCAGAAAATTTGCAGCTGAGGACGGTGTTTCCACTCGAGGACGGTGTTTCCACTCGTGTGGGATGCGGTGGCAGCGATGGAGAGCTCTGAGGGTGCAGATTAGCTGAGCTGGGCTTGAACCAGGAGGGTGGGTCCTGGCTTTTGGGAACAAGCAAGTCCAGATGGGGCCAAGTCCCAGGAAATCCCTGCCACTTCCAGCAGTCAGTTACATGAAAATAAGAAATTAAATAAGATCTGCTTACTATCAGAGGGAGTCGTCTTGGTGTGTTAGCAGGATTTCTTGGGTTTTACAAGAAAAGCTTTCATCTGAACACCTTGAACCCGAACTGCAGCAGGCTTAGCTTTTGAAACACTGTGGGGGGAAGCAGTGGCTTTATGATGCCCAGGATTTCTAAAGCATTCATTTCTAACGACTGCGCTGGTACAGAAAGCCTCCCCCTCACATTTCTATGCTTAAATTGTAACCTATAAAGATTCACACATTGGATCAAAATACAGCACTGAAGTACACGGCTGGGAATTGAGCCAGTGCTCCGTCTCATCCCTCAGTGACACTTCCTTATCTGCGGGAAATACTTGTCCCTCTACATGAGAGGCAGCAAAAAGTCCTGGGTGCAGCTGATGGGCAGCTCTACAGGCAGACACAGGAGAGGCAGAAATACAGGTGTGGGAAGAGTTAAGAGGCAGCAATGCACCATATCATCAGGATGACTTTCAAACCAGAAATTTATACTGAAAATAAGTACGCTGTTTTCCAGCTTGACAGGGTGGTCCCTTGATGAGCATATGCTCTCCAGAGATGCTGGGAAATCCTCCCTTTGTGGTAAGGAATCAAAAGTTGCTGTGTTCCTGGTTGTCATGAACAGCAACCTAGTAAGCATTATCATCTTGTTATTTGGGATCTTCAGGATTAGTGTCCAGAAGGCAAAATTTCCCCGAGAACCATTTCTGGTGGAACTGTGGAGCTTGTTCCTGGTCAGCACTGGGGTGGGAGGTCTGGGACCGTCTGTCTGCATTAGAATCCAATTCCAACACGTGCCTTTCCCTCCAGGACAAGGTGCTGCGGATGCTGTACGTGTGGGCGCTCTGCAGGGACCAGGACGAGCTCAACCCTTACGCTGCTTGGAGGTTGTTGGACGTTTCCTCATCGAGCACCGAGCAGGTCCTTTGAGAAGAATTCCATCCCGGAGCTTCCAGCCCCTCTCTCGGAGCGATGCCATCTCGGACCTTGTCCCAATCCGCTGCACGATGAAACGTAGGGGCAGGAGCAGGGAGGGAAGAGGCTGGACTGGCTCCTCCTCAGAAGAGGAGGCTCCGAGCGGTGCCATCATCCTCCCAATCCCTGTTCTGAACTGACCGAGTTGGACGTATCTGCCTTATGCTTTGCTGTGTAGCAATTGCACTGTAAGGGTGTATGGTAGATTTAAATGTGAATGATCTCAGACACTAGCAGCTGCTGTTGGCTCCTTTGTTTTAATTTTGACCCAAGGAGGAGGATTTTGTTCCTCTGTGTTCCCCAGTGCTTCCAGGGTTGGGCAGAGGTGGGTCCCTGAGAGCGCAGCCGCAGTGTCTGGTCTACTTTGCATCTGCTGTCAGCTCCTGGTGGCCCCACAGCCTCCAGAAAAGCACTTTGAGGTGCTCTTAAGGCGCATAGGTCACCTCTAGCCTTCCGTTGCTGCAGTGTCTTGCACTTTGCCAAAGCAAATACAGTCAGATCTTTGCAGCTCTTGGTTGTGGGGGGCACAGCCGTGATGGAGGTGCCGGGATCCCCAAGAGCAGCTGCCAGCACTAGTGTTCTGGGAGGCACTTGTGTTTCCAATGTTCTTCCTCGCATCACCCGGTGCCACTAATAAAGCACCCGACTGTGTCTCCCTGCCAGGTCCTGCCCAGGGGACAGGCCCTGACCAGCTGCAGGGAGGCAGAGCCAGCACTGGAGCAGCGACCAGGAATGAGGGTTTGACAGACTAGCAACAAAGGAGGAATTAAGATGCAAAAGGAGGCAGAGCATCACGCCTTGTAGCTCAGGTCTTACCATGTGAGGAGTTAAGAGGGTGCAGTTCACTTAATTACTCTTTAAAGTGTATTATGAGCACAACTTGGTGCACTGGGTGCCTCAGGGGGGTGGCCCTCGTGGCCTGGCAGTCCCAGGTAGCATCTGGGGGGTGTCACCGAGCTGCTTGCAGGGGCTCTGGGCTGGTCCTGCCTCTTAGCGGAGAGGGAGGTTGGGGAAAAAGAAAATGTTTATGGAGTGGGAAATCAAAGGATGCATCTGCTGCGCGTCCTCGGCCTGTTCGCAAAGCGAGGCGGTGCAGGGTAGCACTCCCTTGCCATTGTGATTAAAGAGAATCATTTGCCCATTTTCCTTTCGCTTGTGCTTGTCCAGATCCTTTCATGCCCTTTACGTTTAAGCGGGATTATTATGGCTCTTGGGTGAGGTGTTCAATTCCTGCAGCATCCGTCGTGGTCTGGGAGCAGCCCTGGAGGTCGGGGTGTCCAGCTGGCATTGCTGCTTCCTACAAAAAAGCTTTTCCTGTGCAGCAGGGATGGTGCTGGCTGCTCCCTGTGGGGCTTTCTTGCATTGCCGGGGTGTTTCCCTCCCTTGCTGTCCACTTGCTGCTCATTAGCAGCTTTTTTTCCAAGGATGCAGTGTCTTGAAGGCAATTAGGGAAGCAAAACGAGACGCAAACCACGGGGGAAGAGGTGGCACTAACTGCAGTGAACGTGAGTTCAGCACTAGCAGCTGCTGCCACACTCACAGCTCAGGCTGTCACATCGTCACAGCTGGTGGCTCAGGGGCTCCCCTTGTCCCCCGGCGCTGTGGCTGGTGGTGGGTTGTGTCTGTGGCCAAGCTGAGTTTGCAGCAGAGCTGGGCTTGGTCCCATTGCTCCTCCTTGGGGACATTGCCCTGGCTGGGACCTGGACTCTCCCATCCCTTGCTGCCTGCAGCCTCCAGGCCCCACCACTTTGGAGATGGGGGAGAGCTTTCCCTTGCTCAGAAAGAAGTGTAGTTAAAATAATAATTATTTTTAAGCTCTGGGGACAATTAACTATCTTGTTTGAGGATTTTAAAATTCTTTTCGTAGTAATTACAAGCAGCAATGTCCTGGGAGATGCGGATTTGGATTGAAAGGCAGCCCTCAGCCTGCCCGGAGACGGGAGGAGGATTTTAAATTATCTTTAAATATTTCTCCTGAGTGCCTGGATTTACAGCGGGCTGTAAATATCCCGCGGCGCTGAGTTACGGCCGGGCCTGGGCTCGCTGGCAGCCGCCGCCGCGGCGCTGCCGGGAGGACGGCGGCCCCGGGGAGGTCTCGGCGGCGCCCGTAAATCTCCATTAAACCAAACAGCGGGTGACGGGGATGCGGGGAGAGCGCTGGAGCTCGGCGGGGTCCATCCGCTCCTGTATCCATGGGGAAGCCGCTGGAGCAGCGATGAATCCCGGGGGTGATGGCCCTGCCATAACCTGCCTTTCCGCTTCCCCATACAGGAAACCTCTGCAAAGCACCAAACGGGCCAAAAACAGGCCCTTTTCCTGCTTTTTTTCCAGCGGTGGCTCCTTTCCTCCACGCTCCAGCCAGGTAGGAACAGGGGTTAGATGGGCCCTCTACCATCACATTGATTCTATATACTGAAAAAAAAATAAATAAGTGCAATAGGTGGAAGTGTGCGGAAAGCTCGTGCCATTTCCCTGTGACATTTGCTCACAAGCACTTGTCAGGTTGGGGTATCTCGTAGCTGGCTGAAACGGCTCATCCTCAACTGCTATTTCTATAGCCGTGCTCAGCAGCGTGTGCTGGGGGACAGGGGACAGCCACATGCAGGTGACTTCACCCGGTTCTGGTGCTCGGGGACACCCCTGTACTTGTCACAGGGTCCTGCTCCGCTTTGGGGTGCCCAGAACTGCAGCCTGGGCTGCTCGGCACTGGGGTCCCTATCAGCAGGGCTCGTTATTAGAGGAAATTAAGTGATTTTATAGGCAGAGGCTCTGCTGAGGAGGGGTGTGAAACAAAAATGACTCCAGCTGGTCAGAATGAGCTTTTTCATGGAAATCTTTGATGGAAGTCGCAGTGTGGAAAATTTCACTCTTTGGTGGAAAGGAAGCCCCCATTTCTCTCCACAGATCCAGCTGCCCAAAGGGCCGTAGTGGCCCTGGCTGCCCTTGGAGATGCCCTCACCTGCTTGGGGGTGACGGTGGCACTTGGCGGGTGGCCCTGTGGGCACCGCTCAGGCCTGGAGAGGTGGCTTAAGCCACAAAAACACATTCTTGCCGGCAGCCAGGTGGGAAATTGCCTGGAGATCCCTGCTGGAAGCTCCAGGGAGCTCGGAGAGCAGGCAGGGATGGCTCGAGCCGCTCCCAGAGGGCATCCAGGCTCCTGGAGGGAGCCAGGACAGCGGCTCATCCGTGTCCTTACGGTTAAACCGTCCTGGAGCTCGGATCTGAGTCAGGACTGCCGGGATGCCCGGCTCTAATCCCGCCTTGGAGCTGCAAAGCTGCCCTGTGGCTTCCTCTTCCTCCTCTTCCTGCCTCCCAGGCTGGGAAAATTCTGCCCGGGGATCTAAGGGATCCCTAGGAAGCCGAGGGTTGTGCCGGCTGGTGGATCCATCGTTTACCTGGCCCAGCATCCCTGGAAATTGTAAGTGACACCGGGCAGATACGACGAAGCCACCGGCCTGAGCTCAGGGCGATACGGACACTCCAAAGGATGGATCTTCCTACCCCGTTTGTGACAGGTCTTGCTCTTGGTCTTGGTGTGACACCTGCCTCTCCAGGGACCCCTTGGGAAAGGGGCCTCGTGGGACATGGAGATTGGTGAGAGAGAAGACACTGAGGCCTCTTCCTGTTCGGAATTTGTGAAATGACTCCTGATTCCCGTAAGCCAAAAATTGTGCCTGGAACACAGTTGGAAGTTTGAGAATTTGAGTGCAATCCAAGCAAATTCCAGCAAGGAAGAACAGATTTATCTGATGACGCCGCATTGCAGCTCAGGGCTGCTGCACAAAATGCATTGCAGAAACGTCTCTGCCTCTCCCCAGTGATGTATGAATCAATTGCCTGCACATCCTGCGCTCCAGAGCTGATTTCCATTCATGGCAGAGCAACAAACGTGCGAATGTCCGGGGTGGCCGTGCGCTTCCATGAGCCAGGACCTCGGTGACCTGGCCATGGGACCCCTGGTAGGACACGAGCGTCGCAGGCAGCACTTGTTGCCCCGGCTGACTGAATCTTGCTGCTCCTGCCCTTGTTCCCTTCTCTCTCTCATCACCAAAAAGGAGAGTTTTGGTGACTCCGGGGCTCCCGCTTCTCCCGGCTCTTTTGCGTTTGAAGTAGCCCCCGGGCTACCTCCTTTCTCCCCGTTTCAGATTAAGCCAACGGCTGTGGGGCTGGTTGCAGAGGGGCCTCATCTGCACATCACCCCGGGGGCACATGGACAATCTAAAAGTTTTCCTAGGGATTTAAACCTTATTCCCTGTTCGTGCCTAAAGGGAAATTTTGCAGATCTTTGTCCTGCTGTTCTAATGGCCCAAATTGCATTGGCAGAGCCTGGCCTGAGTCAGGGAGCAGAAGCACAAGGACCAGGGGTCAGGTTTAACTGTGGCCAGCTCAGAATTCAGTGCAGACACTGGCACTTAACGTATCGATTTCTTCTCAGGAAAAATCCAGTTATGTTTCATGAGATCAGCCAGGCACCAGGTGGGATCCGATGGAGAGAAACGTTATCCCTGCGACGCCTGGAGCTCCATCTCTGGAAGCTGCAGCCCCTGCTCTGCTCGGTAGGGAGAGGACAAGGCTTGGTACCCAAAATCTCAAGTTTGAGGCTGATTTAAGGGATTTGTTCTGTCTTCACGTGTCATTCTGCACATGGAGGGGATTTAGGAGCCCCTCTTGGAAGTCCTCAGTGGCTGCTCGTGTCCTGGTGCATTCCCTGCTTCCCACCTCTGCCGAGGACGCAAGATGAACAGGCTTCGCTTTGCCAGGCCCGGCCTTTCCCTGCATCCCACTGGGAATTAAATGGCACTAACTCTCCAGTGAGTCCTGTCCGACAGTGACGCGCTCGGGACGAGCGTTTGGGCCTCAGCTCCGTTGGAGGCAGGAGGCTGCTCGAGGATGGGGGAGCAAAAACCACCCGCTCGGGACTTGCTTTGCAGCTGGAAAGTGCTCCAAAAAACTCATGGGGTCTTTTCAAAACTGTCAGCGCGGGGCCTTCCTGGGAGCTCC